AACCGTGGTCCCTGTGTTTTGCTAAGCTTGTTCTAAGTAGGTGCTTTAGACCACTGCGCCATCTCACCAGCCCCGTTTTCTCCAATTTTGAACTGCTAACTTAGGTTGTTAACCCTCCAGAAGAGAAGCTAATTATTTTTTAATTTTTTTAAATACTTGCTTTTTTAAAATTTGTGTGTGTGAGTCTTGTGAAGAGAAGGCTCAATGACAGTAAGCACAGTATTTTGACATAAAAGCAACAGTTCTTTCCATGATAAATTATTCTGGAATAAAAAGTGTTATAGGAATGAAGAGGGTCTTTCCCTCCTGCCACTAGGAACTTATGGAAGCAGTCTCCAAGCTCTTAAATTTAGAGATTAATATTAAAGGTCAGGTTTTCTTATGATTTATTTCATTCCTTATATATGTTTTTTTATTCTCAGTAGATAAAATTCATTTTCAGAAGTTACATAGTTTGAGCATTTTCTTGCCATTACTTTCTATGTGCAGGCTGTAAAAGTCTATAGGCCCTGAGTTTTAGAAGAAATAAGCTATGTTGTGTATAGTCATGGTGCTGGGTGTATAGCTGGACCTCAGTGGGGTCTGTGGGGACTTTCTGAGTAGCATTTACATGGTGAGGCTCAGTTCATGAAATTTCCTAGAAAGGAGGAGCAGTCTTCACATGCTTCCCAGAATCATGGACATCCTTCAGCACTTCTTTCACAATCCATATGCATAGTGTGTTTTCCTGTGGCTGTCCTTAGCATTTACTAGGATGGACACATCTTCGCAGCATCTCTAGTCATCTCTCCCCTCTTACTGTCAAGTTTGGTCTTCATTATACTTGCAAATTTTTGAGCTTCTAACAAAGATCACGTATATAGTAATAAAAGATACTTAATGGGCAAACTGTGCTAGGCACCGAGGAGTATAAGTTATCTTGTTTCCTGCATTATAATGTTGTATAATCACCTATAATCTGAAAGTTAAGTTACACTATACCTGTTCCTATCATGAAGGACTTCTTTTTCCCTTCTCATGTTGTTCTGTGAGAAACATTCTTATTATGGTATGTGGAATTACTTAAGTTGTCTGATACTAATGATCCAGTAGATTAACAAAGTTAGTAGGGACCGGGGAGATGGCTCAGTGGAATAAGCGCTTCCCTGGCAAGTGCAAGGGTCTGAGTTCAATCCCTGCTTCTGCAAAAAAAAAAACAAAAAAAAAAAACCAAGTTAGATAGCATTTACTTGTGGTAGCAGAATACCTATAGTGCTACCTTCTCAGAGCGTAAGCCACTAAGTGATCTTTATCTCATTTTTTTTATGTTTCTTAAGGTTGACAGGATGTCTTTGATAATTCTAAAGAGACCAAATCCTGTTTCTATCAACTGATTTTTCAATTTTTATTTATATATTTATGTATATATATGTGATTTTTGTGGGTGGTGTTTTGGGTTTTATTTTCTTGGCTTTTGAGATACTGGGGATTGAACCCAGGCCTCTTGTACTGAGCTGCACCTACAAGCTTTTATATTTTAAGATAGAATCTTGCTAAGACACTAAGTTTCGTGAGCTGGCGTAGAATTTGGAATTCTGCATCAATTTCCCAGAGTGCTGGGATTGCAAGTTTGCTCCAGTATGTCTGGCTAGAACAATTGATTTCAGTACGGGTCTCTTCAGAGTTGCAAGATCATGGTAGTATTATTGCAAGGTCTTTTCATGATTGACCCCTTTAGACTGATTTAATTAAATCATGCTCTTACTTGCTTTTGAATCTTTTGTT